AGAGCAGGGAGGAGGGGCCGGGCAGGCAGCCGGGAGGAGGAGGAAGGAGGAAGCGCGCGGGGACAGATTCCCCGCCGGTGACTCGGAAAAGACCCATGCGCGGCCCCGCCACATTCGAGCCAGGGGTCCAGACGCCGCAGGGGATTGCGGGGCGGAGGCATGGGGCACAAGAGCCCCGCCCCCCACCCCGCCCCGTGAGAGGGCCCCACACAGGGGGACCCCCCCATCTGCCCTCCTGCCAAAATGCCCTTTCTAATGTCCCCCAACCCTCCCACCCTAATCTATCTCAAATCCACCTCTCCTGCAATTATTAGTAATAACAGTACCATCAGCACTAATGGAGAGCTCGCTTCTTGCCAGTGGCTGGGTAGACTTTAGAACCTTTTCCTCACAACCATCTGGGGATGATTATCCCCATTTTACAGATGAGGAGACTGAGGCACAGAGAAGGCCTCGCCTAGGAGAACCTTGGACCTTGGCCTTGACCTTAGTTTCTCAAAATGGGGACTGGGGCCTGAGGGACAGTGTGGGGAGGAGAAATATTGATTTTAATAGCTATAGGTTCATTTTAATGGGCTTTAATAAAAAATAACCAAGGCGGCCCATCAAAGTCATCGAGATCTGAACATTCATGCTGTGGAGGGGGCGAAGAAGGTATTTAGTGACAATACACTTCTAAGTAAATGAAGAGGTGAAGTGCATCTGGATGCAGGGGACAGGAAGTAGAGCAGAGAAAGTGGACATTGAAGAAATGCCGCTTTAGCCACCACAGCCCCCACTATCTGACCCTATCGTCCTCCCACCATCCCCTGGTCCAGGCTTCAGGGCGGCCTTACTAGGGGCGGGCAGCCCACCCTTGGCTCTTCACCTCTCCTCCTGGAATCACGGCACCAGGGAAGGTGGGCCTGAACCCAGCTCTAAATACCACCGCCACCTGCCTCCACTTTCCTTCTCTGCAATTTCACCGATGGGAAACCAAGGCCCAGCCAGGTCAAATGGCACCAGGCCTGGATTTCTTCTGGGAGGAGCTGGGAGGGGAACCCTAGGCTATGGGAGGCAAAGGCCTCAGGGTACAAAATAGCATCCGGGAGATCAGGAATGAACAAGGCCTTGAGCCAGACTAATCTGGGTTCAAATCTAGACTAGTTGCCCACCTGCCGCACCTTGTGTTAAGTCACAGGAATGAACGTGGTCACGGAGAACTCCTGGGAAGGTTAAAACTGGCAAGTGTGACTGTGGCTAAGATTGTGCTGAACAAATGGTAGCGCTCATGCTTAGTAAACTGAAGCTCGAGGGGGAAGGGGCTGCTTGAAGTCCCTGGTGAAATGGCTGCAATTGTTTGCAAGACTGGCTTAAAGATTAACCACAGCTTCCCAGGATTCTGGGCGGGCTCCCGGCCTGGAGGAGCAGGTTTCTCAGCCCTCCTTTACTCCTCAGACGTGTCTGAAGGTTTTTACCGGCCACACTGGGCTAGGGGTAGAATATGCATCCTGTGGTGTACCAGAGCTGTCTCTTACCACTCCAGGTTCAATGATGTCAGGTTGGTAGCTTGATATCGGCCACTGTGAGAGTATTTACACCTTGGAAATCGGCAAATGCTGCAAATCAAGGCTTCTTTTTTCTCTTTCCAGAGAGCTGGTTGTTAACTATTTACCAGCACATCACTAGAATCATCCCCAGGAGTTCAACTGAAAGTCCCGGGCTCCTAGAGCTGGGATGACAGAGGCCTTAAAAGCGCACTTTGGACCTACAGATCTGGCTTCAAGTCCAAACTCTGCCACTTCTCGGATTTGTGACCTCGAGCATGCCGTTTCTCTGAGCTTCAGTATGCCAGCCTGCAAAATGAGCTCCTGATGGCGCTTCCCTCAGAAGACTCACACAAGGATAAAATGAGGTGCTGTAAGCTCAGGACATGTGAGCCCTCATTATCATTCACTCCCTACACACTCTCTCAGAACAGTGGGAAACATCTGGACAAGTCTTGGCTCTACGAGCACAGACGCAGCCTTCCACCTGGAGCCACCACTGGCTCCAAGGGTTTGGCTCAGTGGCTGAGGTTCTCAGGAGGCACTTCAGGAGGATGTGGCCAGCACACTGGTTTCATTATTGAGCCTTGGAAATAACTATTATTTTGAACCATCCCTCTGGGCCTTTACTCAGACCGTAACCCCTGCCAGGAATACTCGCCCCACATCTCTAGCTTCCCAAACCTCCCTGTCCGTCAAGTTCCTGAGCAAATGCCACCTCCTCTAGGCCATGCTGCCTGACAAACCCCTGATGGAGGCACGCCCCATCTATTCAGGGTGTGTCTGTCCCCACCCTGAGGGCAGGGACTGTGGCCTGGCCCACGCCCAACACAGAGCAGAGGCTGCACAGTTGGCTGGGGAGAACACGCTGACTAGGGATCCACGTACAAGAGTTCAAGTTCCAACTCTTCCTTTCATTGACTGTATGACTCTGCCCTCTCTGAGCCTCAGTTTACTCATCAATAAAGTGGGGCAACAACCCTGCCAACTCCCAAGATAGTTTCTGGTCTGGCCTGGTGGATAGATACACATTATTTTACTTCAAACATCGTTAGTAAAACAGCAACTCATTGCTTAATACCTACAAAACATTCATCATCATTAATAGACAGCAAACACAGGACAGTATACACAGCCCTGGGCCAGGCCTAGAACACCAAGAAAGTCAATTTCCCAAACCAAAGCACCCAGCAGATGACAGATGTTAATGTCAACCTCGTTGAGATGATGAGCATCTGTTGTACACAGTCGTCTGTCTTTAAAAACTCTTCCCTCCTTCCCATCACATGGGTCAAAGCCACACATAAGGTCAGGATGGAGAGTGTAAAGCAGCAGTCCTCAACCTTTTTGGCACCAGGGACTGGTGCTCCTATGAGACTGTAGTAATGCCTGATGATCTGAAATGGAGCTGAGGTGGTGATCTAGCACTGGAGAGTGGCTGCAAATCCAGATGAAGCTTCGCTCCCTTGCACACCGCTCACCTCCTGCTATGCAGCCTGCTTCCTAACAGACCACAGACTGGTACTGGTCTGCAGCTCAGAGATTGGGGACCCCTGGTAGAGAGTGAGGCCTGACCCCACACAACTGGCAGCAGACCCTTCAGCAAGAGCTTGCCCATGACATGAGATCAGTGGCACTGCCTGCACTTACCCCAGGGCCCCGGTGGCTCTGGCTTCATGGTGGCCTATTTGTAGCACTCACCCCAAGCCCCCCACTCACCCTTGGAGCAGTGACCAGAAAGCTGAACCTATCACAGGCACTCAGTGGGAAATTCCAGACCAGCCCTGTCATTCCCCAGATGGTTTGCTGTGAGTTGTCTATTCCCCATCTCAGGACTAAAGGATGGGGTGAAAAAATGTGCAGGCTCTAGCTTGAGGCAGTAAAACGGCTTGCCATCTTCCATAGCACTGCACTTTACAGTTTATACAGCGATGTCCACTTCAAGTGCATCAACCAATATGGACTTCGGTTAGGCCTCCCTTGGGGGGCCCGGTCCCCTTCTCTCCTCCTCCAAACCTGCCTCTGTGCTGTCAACTCCATCACATCAGCTCAGCATTTGCAGGTCCCTCTGCCTGGAATTCTCCCCACTCCCCAGCCTCTGACTAAGCCTCACTCTGTCTTCCTCTGGTCAGTCAATATTTACTGAGCATTTACTATGTTGCTAGGGTCTGCGCTAGGTGCTAAGGATACGGCAGTGAACAAACCAGGTGTGGTCTCTGCCTGGAGTTGCTCACAGTCTGGAGAAGCAGGAAAGCATGGCCAGTGTGTTAGGCACAGCAATGGGGCAAGCGCAGGGGGCTTGCAGGGCCCAGAGGAGGAGCCCCTAACCCAACGTGTGTGCTGGAGTGAGGGCTGGTGAGGAAAGGAGGCTGACTATGGAGAGTAAAGAAGCCTGAAGAGATGGTTTCAGGTGACAATGAGACAGAGGTGTTCCAGGCAGAGGGAACAGCATGAGCAAAGACACAGAGGTCAAAAACACCACTGTGTTTGGAACTACGACCAGAGCAGGGTTTAACGGAGCACAACCTGATGGGTGGCTGGAGTGGGGGAACTGAGGTGGGAAGGGTGGCTGGGGCGAGCCCTGAAGATCCTTAGATGCCAGGCTCGGCTTCTGTCCTGGAGGCAGTGGGGAGCCATGGAGGGTTGTGAGCAGAGAAGGACCTGGGGAGATGAGTTGTCACTGAGTGGGAAGCAGACAC